TCATTTTTTCTCAGTGTAGAAATCGGTGAGATAATGAAGATTTCTGCTGTAAAATCTTGACTATTGATACAACACACTTTGGTTACACAACTAAATTGTTAATTATAGGCAAAGATGAACAATAGCTAGCAGCGAATCTAGGATTCGCGTCTTGTCACATTTGAGACTAGTCAACTGGATGTATCTGCATCTCAGAGTTGATGTTCACTTTAGGACTTGAACCCAACACTGTTCGCTTCAAGTGGATAACCTGATGACGTTTGAAGCGAACGGTACTGGGTCCGAATTATTATTGTTATTATTGAATATTTTTAAACTGATCTTTAAAAAAAAACTCCTCTTTCATTATGCATCAATTTCATCATATCTTACCTCACATCGAAGACAAATTATTCTAATAATTGTATCATCATTTGATCCTAAACCTTCCATACTACAATAAAGTTGACAGGTCAATAATAGACGTAGATCGACTAGTGCCATTACTTCAGAGTAAAACGAACAAAAGAAGAAAAACAAGATTTGAATTTGTTTTGTGTATATACAGTATTCATTACTTTAATTTAAGTAGTTTATACACTTCTAACTTATTTAATACAACATGGATATTACATGCAGTATATGTTTTAAGATTGAATAGCTAGTAGTATTTATCATAGATTGATATAGATTGGAGTACTATTAATAATCAGGCAACGGTGACACATTAATTTCATATCAATATTAAACTCCCGACTAGCTCATATACAGAACTGTACTGAGGATTGGACCTAAAAACTCCCGGTCACGAATCAAGCGCTTAACGTTTAAATCAATTAGCCAGCCTCTATCGGTTTAACATGTTTAACTTCAATTGGATTCTAATATTGTACAACTGTTAAAGAGTTTCATCACTGAATAAATATTACTATTTCAACTTAGGAGCGTGATAAATAACGCTCTCACATTTTATGTATAATGCTGGGCTCGTATTTAGTAAGAACACTCGATTAGTTGGAAGAATGCTTGTCTTTGTGATCAGTTCCTATTCCAGGACAAATGTAGTGAATGAGAACACCGGTGGCAACAACTAAATATATTTTAGCATAAAATTACCGAGTTTTTCGTCAAATGTGAAAACTATACGTTTATTACTTCATTTGCGAATCCTCTATTAATTATCTTAACTTTATAGTCCCTTAACTGCAATAACAATGACTCTCTGTCTCTATTCTCTTTGATTCGATGTTGCCAACTTCTTACTACCAGGCATTCCACCTCTGATTAGTGTTATATACTAATTATTTCGACATAAGTAGCATACACTACACAACTACTGTTAAACTATGTCGAAGAATCAAAGCAGGAAATATCACTCCTGAGTTACTTGTTCAATATGCATCACTTCAAGGTTTGCCCCCAAATACCCTGGTACGGTGGAGGTTGAGAAAGTCAGCTCTTCCTTTCGAAATGCTCTCACATGACCACGCGTATACAGCCACTGTCAGGGAAGTCCTACTAACTGCCTTCTTGTGGCATTAGAGGACGAAAAGCGAATGTCCTGAGCTTCAACCGGGTTGGTAGATATGGAGGAACCACTCAGAAGAGTTGGAAAACCTTGATTTCAAACCAGGATCCTGATGGAACAAATGGCATGTGAACCAACTATTGGTCACCGGTTACCATGAGACTACATCTCCTTACGCATTTTAATGTAGATTTATAAAGTTTTATGTGCTCATTTGATACAAGTAGTTGACAGTATCTTTTTCTTCTTAGATAGACGTTAACGGTTGATTAGGAGATATCTAAAAGTTTTCAATATATATAAAAATGGCATCTGATTGAATGAATATGATTCCTTAGTTCAAAATATTCTTTATGGACTTGAAACGAACTCCTGTTTACTTGGACAAAAGCTATTAAAGTTTTACAAATCTGATTATTAATGGATTGAATGTAATTAGTAGTCAATAAAGTCAACCATTTATTAAATCTGAATATCAAATGTAAGTTCTTAGTGTTCAATCTTACTATTTGTTTATACGAACAGTATTACTAGTTACATAACAGTAAAATTACAAACATAGATGATTGATGCTTCCATGGTAATAGTATTATCATAACGTAATAAAACTTGAAAAGATATAATTCACTCACTGATAGTATTTAATGCATTACGAAGAGGGTTTGAGAATTTTCTTGATATTGACTCAACTAGGAGACAACCATATTTCTAAAATAAAACCAAATATTGGATGATGGTAGTATTAGTATTAGTTTTCAAAGGAATTGTAGTTAAGATAACCCATAGTGCCATTGAATGATCAACTGTGGGCAAATCGATCCAAACGTTTCTTATTTTAAAGTAATCTACAGAGTCAAAAGAAGGAATGTTGAATCAATAGTTTATGCACTGCTGAGGCATTGGCAATCCACGAACTCAAGCCCGATCTTTGCGTGCGAAAACGATTCGTACAACCTCTCAATCTTCCTTGACCCTAATTCTCTTTATGAGTATGTTTCGGGTTAATTTTCCTTTTCTTTTGCACTTCAGTGTGATTATTATTGAATTATTGTATGTATTCAGTGTACTAAAAAGCATCTTATGTTAGTTAACGTCCTTAAACTAAAAATTATGCTGGACAGCTCTATTCATGTAGTAAGATCAAAACGGAGTCATTTTTCAATTCGTCTATCTCTTATTTATAAATGGATTATGCTTTCTCTGTAGAATATCCAGAAAGTGTTTTGTTTTATAAATATCGTCTAAGTACTCTTCCCATAGACAAACATACTTTGTGATGATCACTTTGATTTTCTCTGTCCAAGTAAGATGATTTAAATGATTCTGAATAGAAATGATTCATGTTTACCACATTTTGTCTTGAATGAAGTATCAATAAAATGACTTATCATTAGGGATGACTGAATTTTTATAAAGAAGCATCAACGGCGAGACTATAATTAATGGACCAACCAATCAGGGATAAGATAACAAGACTCGGATTTTGGTGCGAAATTCACTCATCCATTTGGTTAAATAGAGTTTTGGCATAATAAATGATGTCAGTTAGTGATGAAAACCCTAAATCTGATTCTAATTCATCACACTGGTTTATAAACCTCATTTAGTCCTAGTTATTAGGTGGACACTCTCAAGGTCAGTTTAACTTTGTTTAGAGGTCGTCCATGAGTTATAATCTTACCGCATCAACTTTTTTATGGGTCGGGCAAGTATTTTTACTTTTGAAAGTAGTTGGAGATATACAAAGAATGACTATTATATACTTCGGTTATGTTATGTCACATTAATCACATTAAGTGAACTAATTAAGCCATTTATTAAACTAAAACAAATAAATTCGAAGCTACTTAAAATTATCTCAGTAGCTAAATCATAAATTTTACAAATTTTTACCAGACTTCAGCTAAACGCATATCCGCCAGAAAAACTGATGAAGTTATGTGAAACGAGCTGCTCACTCAAACGATTCTTCTAACTACATTTACCAGTCTACATGTACCTACCAAAGAATATACATTGGAAGAACAGAGAGAGGCGTATATGTTCACATTTTCGAACACATTCCAAAGAAATTCGGACTGAGAGGCGCACTGACTCTAAAGAGTGGAAGAGCTCGACATTTACTTGACACTGGGCATACTGTTAACATTCTACAAGCCTCCAAAACTATGAACAGATAAACCAACGCGGTGTCTCTTCGGTTTGGCAAAGTAATCGCAATAAATAAACTGAAACCTGATTTATTTATCCAGAAAGAGACTGTATTAAACGTGTCACTACATTCGTAAATTATTTCTGTCACTATCATGATTTCATTAGAGTTTATTTTGTTATGTGGTCTTTCCACAATTAAATCCGATCTTGGGTACACCAAAACTACCCCTTCACTCATACGTCTTCATTCACTTAATTCTCTTAACTTATGTAAACGCTTCACATTCTATAACCGATTTTATCGATTTTTATGTCCTGTAATCTTATGTAAAACCTTTACAACCTTTCACATCAAACGTCATTGCGTTATCGACTTGAAGCAGACGGTACTGTGTTTGAGTCTTAGAGTGAAAATCAACTCTGAGATTCAGGTACATCCATCTGACGATTCCCGAATGGGACGAAACGCGCGTCAAACTGGATTTTACTGCTATCCACTATCCATCTTTCCATAAAAAAGCTTGTGACTGAAGGCGATATCGAGGTAATACGCACGAGACGCACAATATAATAATAACAGACTGATCAACTGCAATCCTAAACATCAATGGGAAGATACAAGTAAAACAACACCAAGTGAATTTAAAATATTCAGACTGTTTAACTTCTACTTAATAGAATTGCAGAAGAATTAATTACCATTTTACTATAAAAATTTGATCACTGATTATTTTCAGATTAAGAATTTGTGGAAAAATTGTCATAATTCAATGGTTGAATTCATGAGTCTGTGTAAGCTAAACAACCATGGAGAACCTAAAAGAACTGGACAGCCGTTTCTTCCTCTTATGGGACTCCTCAGCAGTGCGCATCCACAATCTCGCCTCGCGAGATTCGAACCCACAACCCATCGGACTCGCGCGCAGACGCTTAACCTTCAGGCCGTTGAGCTGGCATCCAACGATGTGAATGTCCAGTTTCAAGTAATCCATGATATTGTGCGACCGTCCACCATTGTCTTGCGTGAGTAACTGCCTCACAACAGACACCTTTTCACACCACTGATCACGTCTACTCACTAAAACTCAAGGAAACACATCTTGAAATCCGTCACTAGTGAATACATGCTGATTATTGTCAGAATGAGGGTTTGTGGAGATTGTAGTAATTGAATAGTTGAATTCATGAGTTCAATAAATCTAGATTACTGTGAAAAACCTAGAAGCACTAGGCAATGATTTCATTCTAGTATGGGACTCCTCAATAGGGCTCATTCACGATCATTAAGTTGTTAGTTAAAATCAATGAATAAAACTATTTAAATGATTGATAAACTTACTTTTTGATATGCTTTACATATTTCTCTGATATGATATTTACTACGTTTTGACAGAATCGATATATAAATAGAAGGATCACCTTTGCCAATTTGTCTGTATAAATAATTTTATTAGAAACAGTATACAGAAGATTCAATGGTGTTGAGATAAATATAACTCAATATGTCTTATGTATAGTTAATAGCTTATAATATAAAGAATGACTCAATATAGTCAATTGTTCATAGCACCACTTCTAAACAGAATGGATTATAACGGTATAATAACTAGTTCTAAGGAGTTACACAATAAGCATATTATCTAGTAAAATTTTAAACTGTTACGTAACCAAAATTCAATAGTCTTACACCAGTTATCACTAGTATTTGATCATCTTTAGTTAAAATTACTGTCACAGTCACAATAAAACCATAATCGTGAACTTTTTAGATGTATCCTTTAACCTTTTGATCTGCACTATATGTTCTATGCTCCCAAATACCCTAGTACGGTCAACTGTGGATAGAGTTAGCTCTCACTCCAGAGATTCTCTCATATGAACACGCGTATACAGCAACTGTCAAGGAAGTTCTATAGCAACTCATGTGCAATTGAGTTTGTTCTCATTTAACTCGGTTAAGCCCTTTTGTAAACTTATTTAGCGGACAAAGTAATCCGTACTATAACAACTTATTGTACCTTTATTATTGTTGTGCTTGTATGAAATATGTATGCTTGAACATTGCTTACCGCCTACGCATATATTCATTCTGCTAGCTTTATTATTAGCTGCTTAATTGATTCGATGATCCATTCATTTCCCTATATATATACATGTACATTCACACTCTACACTCTCTACACTCTCGGTTCGCCGACTCACTTATTCGCCTCACTGCTTTGTGGTCTGAGTTATCTGCTAATAAAACTATAGTCGCTGCTTCTCTTTGCCTTCTGATTTCAAACACCGTTGAGGATTATATGGTAACGGTTACGAGGTTGATTGATCAACGAAGCACAGCCACTACAGTCCTACTCACTGCCTTCTCGTGGCATTACTGTTGTTTACGAGAATAAGAGGATGAAAAACGAATGTCCGGCGATTTAACCATGTTGGTGAGTACAAAGAATTCACTCAGAGGAGTTGGAAAACCCTGATTACAAACTTATGATGCACATGGACTCCAGGATTCTAGGGGAACAAATGACGTATGAACTGATTGTTGGTCAACAGCTACCATAGGACTGCATCTTTTGACGTTGCTCCACTGCCTTATAGGCTCGGGGTGTGGCTTTCTAAGAAAACCATCTGCTTCTGTTTGGGCACCCGGGTAATATCACAACCCGCACACAAATCAAGTGACTTGTGTAGTGCATATCTATTCGTTGCCTTTGTATACGAATAAATATGCCCTATATTTCATAGTTTGCCCGTTGATTTAGTTGATTTAATTCATAATCTACTTTATTAATTAGTACTATAATATACTCCCTCATAATTTCGCTTATTATATCCATCCATATTATAATTCTATGATTTGTTATTTCACACAAATATATCATTACAAATCAATTTGGCAAGATTATAATTTATGGACGAACCAATCAGATTTATGATAACATGTTTTAGATTTCGGCGCGAAATTCAATCATTCATTTGGTTAAACAGCGTCTTCGCATTTCAACTGATGTCAATTCATGATGAAAATCATAAATCGAATTCCTAACCCTAACCATCAATTCTAAATCATAATTCTAGCCCCTCACACTGATTTATAATCCTCATTTAGTCCTAGTTGGTAGGTAGACATTCTCAAAGTTACTTTGGCGTCACTCAAAGTTTGCCCATAAATTATAGTCTCATTAGATATTTAATATGAAATTGTTAAAAGAAAATTCTACTTGCTAAACTATTTACTTGAATTTGTCTTATGAATATGTTATTACCTAATGATTACTTATATGATTCTGGTTAAAAATGTTAATCAGTGAAACACATCCGACTGATGAGTCTTAAATAGGACGAAACGTTCATCTTGGACTCGACTGCTAACTTTCACCTATCTTTTCTTATATGGGCAGAGTTTGTTTCTTAACGATCGACTGATTTTTACTAATCATTAAACATAATATGCTACTTTTCTCTCTTCTATTTATACAACATTTACTTACCTTATCTATTCTTATTATACGTAATCTAGTTTTCTTAACAGTACAACTTTTTGATGGAGTTGTCTTCTCTAAGCTGGATGGATCCAAGTGGATAAATCATTCAACTGAGTTATAAATCTTCTCAACCATCTTAACAGTATAACATCAGATATTTAGTTCGTTTGTAACTATACTGAGTTTTTCAGGAAACTTTAAACGGTCGTATTTACTTCATGGTGATACAAGATAAAGATATTTATAATTAGAGATCAGTTACTATGGTAACAGAACACATAGATAGTTGAGTTGACTGAATTTATAACTACTTAATAGATGATCAAATAATGATAAACTTACCCTTCTCCTGCTTCATACAATTCTGTTACATCATCATCAACTAATTTTTGATCAACACCTCCATGAACTATAGATGTTGATTCAGCAATTTTATTTGTATTATCTTCACATCTTTCACCTTTTAATAATTGTTCCATAAGTAATTTATATGAACCTTTAGATTCTTTCATAATATCAATGTGTAATGATCTCTGTCTATAACCTAAGAAGAATGAAATTACATATACATATGGTAGAAGATAGATTTACTTTGCTTAGTGATAAACTTCTGTACGGTACTTCAAAAATTTCGGTAAACTATGAGTTTAGTCTATTAGACCTTATTAACATAATCATTATTTAAAATTAAGAAGATAGGTCTATCAAAGTTTAAACAATTCAGATTGAACTATTGAGTGCAGTATGGATCTACAACAAACACATAGTGAAATTCACTTGGTATTGTTTGTTTAAATCTTCCCATTGATATTTAGCACTATGATTGATCAGTCTCTTATTAGTATATGTGCATACTGTGCGTAATACATCGATATTGCCTTAGGTCACAAACTTTTTAAGCAAAGATGGATAGTGGTTAGTAGTGAAATCCAGTTTGACACACATTTCGCCCTATTTGGGACTCGTCAGCCGAATGCGCTTGCATCTTAGATTTGATATTCACTCTGTGACTCGAGCCCAGCATCGTTCGCATGAAACACCATCACGTTATCCACTTGAAGAGAATAGTACTGGGTTCAAGTCACAGAGAGAACATCAAATCTGAGATGCAGGTATATCCATCTGACGAGTCTCAAATAGGACGAAATGCGTGTCAAACTGGATTCCACTGCTAGTTACTATTCATCTTTGCATATAGACATATAAATGCATAAGATCTAAAATCGTTACAAAGAATCATAATAATTTAATACCAAAGTATTTCCAAGCAGTTCGAAAAATCCTGAATCCGAACATTTTTGAATTCGTGTACAGAAATGCCAAGTAAAACATTTCTTAAGGGTTCAGAAGTTGGTTACAGTTATATCACGATTACACTACTATTCATTTACTATAAATTTTAGCATTCTTTAGGAAATGATTCTCCATTCAAAATATTTTTAGATAACTGATTAGCAAGTAATTATTCACTTACCATCTTCATGAATAAGAACTGGAAATGAATGTCTAAGGTAAGGATGGATGGAGAGTTCTGGTGGGCGGCCTATGCTCCGCCACGAGGGGTAACTGGCTTAACTAAGTAAATGTCTCCATGAATTGTGTTTTTTAAACTAAAATTTGTAATGCATTTCAATCTTGTATTAAAATATATGGAGGAGGCTGGAATATTACATAAGTAATTGAAAGTTGGCATGTACGATAATTGTATTGACAAATTTATTGTTAGTGAGCTTAGACTAAATTTATTCATATCCAAACTATTCTAGATTATGGTGAACACTGTTAACATTCAGTTGCATTCAGGCAAATATTGATTAGTTCATCCCTATCTCACATTGTTGATCCAATACAGATAGTACATGATCAAGTACCTTTATAAAGAAGTCATAGTTCTGTCATCATACTAATTGTTGTCAAAAGTTATACACAATCATTTAGGTAGGTGAAATGTTTTCATAGAAAGAAAAACTGATAAAAAAAAACACACCCGTTTATGAATAACACTGAACTAAGCTACTCAATACTGAAAGACATATCTACATATCCGTTTAAATATTTCAAAATTAGAGTGAATATAAGACATTTATATTTTGCAGTACTGCACATTAAGTGTTGAATATTCGGTGAGACTATTGTTTATGGACGACCTTTGAGTGACGCTTAAGTGATTTTGGGAGTGTTCACCAACTGACCATGATTTGAAACCTGTGTGGAGGATAAGAATTGTGATTCATAGTTGATGTTTAAAGTTAGGAATTAGATTAAGGGTTTTCGTCACGAACTGACATCAGCTAAAATGTCAAGACGCTATTTAGCCACATAGATGATTGAACTTTGCGCCGAAATCCAAGACATGTTACCCTAAGTTTGATTGGCTTGTCCATAAAATTCTAGTCTCACTGATGATAATGATGAATAAGTTGTTCAATTTCGTGAATCAGTTGAAGTTAGACAACCACACCATTAGATGCCGGCCAGCTCAGTGATCTAGATGTTAAGAGTTCGCGCGCGAGACCGATAGATCCTGGTTTTGAATCTCGCGGGACGAGATCGTGAATGCGCACTGCTGAGGAGTCCCACAATAGGACGAAACGGCCATCGAGGGCTTCCAGGTTTTTTATAGTGGTGTAGCTTCAACAAACTCATGATCTCAACTATTAAAATTACTGCAATATTCACTATTTCCCCCTTTTGATATTAAAAATTATTACTCATAATGAAAAGTACTTTATCACTATCAATAAAATGAAACTATCTGTTATTTACCTTTTGGATCTTCCTTCATTAAAACTAGAAAAGATTGAAAATAATAAAAAGTAATTAATGTTTATTCGTTGGGGATGATTACAAAATGAACAGCAAACAGCAAAAAAGAAAACACACAAACAAAAATTACGCTTGTATCCTGATGAGCATCATTCATAAAACAATCAGTAAATAACTAGTTAAAGAATAAAGGACAAAACGACCGTCCAGGGCTTCCACACTTTCCATGGTAGTCTACCTTCAATTGACTTATGATCTCAATTATTGAAGTGTTATTTCGTTAAACATATCTGGAGTGAATATTAATGCATAACTATGATATTGTGTTAATATGAAGTGGTATCATCAGTTGACTAGATTAGAAAAGTATGATCCTGAGAGCAGGATCGTGATCTTAATCAAGTGTCCTTCTTTCAGGTCTGTTGGTACTTGTTCTTCATCACAAATCTTGCTGAACAGAATGTGGAGTATCCTTGCAGTTGCCGCTACATCTGCTTTCAGTGCCTCTGCTGGAATGATGTCTGGTCCTGCTGCTTTGCCACTCTTGATTTGTCTGATGGCCATGCTGAACTCTTCAATTGTTGGTGGGCTAACATCGATCGGGAGGTCCGTGGGTGCTGCTTCGATATTGGGTGGGTTCAGTGGAGCTGGTTGATTCAAGAGTTCTTTGGAGTGTTCTACCCATCTGTTTCGTTGCTCTTCAATGTTGGTGATTACCTCACCTTCCTTACTTTTCACTGGTCGTTCTGGTTTGCGGCAATTTCCAGAGAGTTTCTTTGTCGTGTCATACAGTTGTCTCATGTTCCCTTCTCTTGCAGCCTTTTCCGCCGTCGTTGCTAAATCTTCCACATATTTACGTTTGTCGGTTCGGATGCTCCTCTTCACTTGTTTGTTTACTTCTGTGTATTCAGCTTGTGCCTTGGCTTTTTCTGCTCTTGTTCGACTGGTATTGATTGCTGCCTTCTTGTTCTACCTTTCTTGAATCTTATCCAGTATATCGACAGTGATCCATTCATTGTGATGGTACTTCTTGTGGCTCAGAACCTCATTACATGTTGAAGTGATTGCTTCATCTATCCGCTCCCAGTTGCTCTCCATGGTGGTTCGCTCTCCATTGAGTAGATTATGAAAGGCCTGGAACTTATTGCTGAGGACTAACTTGAATTTGTTGAGTTTGTCAGTATCCCGAAGAAAAGCTGTATTAAACTTTTGTGCTGTTGTTCACTTCATTGTCCAGTGCTTCTTGAGTTTCAATTTCATCTTGGCGACCAGCAAGTGATGATCTGATGCTATACTAAAGTTTATTGAAGCCTTGGTAATACGGAAACTGACACCCTCTTCATGTGTTCATATACAATGTGTTCTTATCTTTAACCTGCCCTGCTAATACTGATTAATCTACCTAGAGTTAACCTATTAGTTTTCATGTAGACATACCTTAAGAAGTAGCAGTGATCTAACATCAATCGGTTCGAGATGTCAATCAAAAAAATTAATAATCTCCACAACCCTTATGCTGGTAAGGAACATGTGCTTACTAGTGACTAGCTTCGTGAGGGAATTCTCGGAGTTCTAGTTAGAAGCCATGATCAGTGGAGCTAATCCGAATCGGTTAGAAACAGGTATCTACCTTAGTATAATGGAAGATGGTCGTGCAACTTCGTGGATTGGTTGAGGTTAGACATTAACACCGTTGGATGCCGGCTCAATGGTCCAGTAAGTTAGGTGTTCGTGCGCAAGACTGAAGACTCTGGTTTCGAATCCCGCTAACGGGATCGTGGAGGCGCACTATTACGGAGGAGTCCCATACTAGGACAAAACGGCCATCCAGTTCTTCCAGGTTTCTAACCGTGGTCTAACATTAATCGCTTTATAATCTCAATTAAAAACAAAATGTATTCTGATCACTTTCATCATAATATATTCAATAAAAAATTTTTTTAAAAAGGTAACTGATTACATAACTCACCTTTCTCATAAGCTTTTTTCAGTAAATAAATTTCAGTATTATTACAACAACAAATAATATCAGTCATAATTTGATAATTTGATCCAAGATTTTTGATTCCTTTATATAAATCATTAGCTAATATTTCCATTGGATTTCTAAATAAAGTTTTGATTAAACTATCATAACTGCCAATTAATACAGAACCAATATGTTCAGTGATTTCCTATAATAAGAAATGAAATGAATAGGTGTATGTAAAGCATAAAGATTCATTATTACCTGTATGATTGATTCGAATAAGATGCATAGTTTTTATAATTCATGTAGGATGTCAGCTCAGTGATCTAGAGGTTAAGAGTTCGCTTGTGAGAATTATAGGTCTTGGGTTCGAATCCCTCTAGACGAGATCGTGGATACTCACTGATGAGGAAACCCAAAATAGGACGAAACGGCTATTCAGTGCTACTAAGTTTTCCAGGGTGGTCTAACATCAATCGATTCATGATCTCAATCGATAACTTAATAATCTACACAACCCTGTTAATCATAATTACCATGTGGTCACTAGTGACTAGCTTCGTGAGGGAATTCTCAGAGTTCTAGTGAGAAGCCGCGTCCTGTGGAGTCTAATCTGTATCGGTTAGAAACAGGTATCTACCTCAGATAATGGATGAATGGTTGCGCAGCCATTCATGGATCGACTAAAGTTAGACATTAACACCATTGGATTCCAGTTCAGTGGACTATAGGTTAGGTGTTGACGTGCGAGATCTAAGGTCTTGCGCTCGAATCCCGAGTGTGAAGCCGTGGGTACACACTGATGAGAAGTCCAATACTAGGACGAAACAGCAGTCCAGTGTTTCCAGATTTTCGATGATAGTCTAATATTGATCGATTCATGAATTCAACTATAATATATTTATAATATCCTAATGAGTAGAAAGTCGAGTTTCTGACGATTTATTATTTAGTGTTTGCTGCTACCTTAGTAAGTAAATCAGTGTAAAATAGTATAAGAAACAATTCAATTGGTGTATTTGTAGTGAATTTAAACAGATTCGAACATATAATCTGCATCAGACACAATTTCAGTATTTAAATGTGTGAATGGCTGTGAAAATGTGATATTTATCATATAAATGATGCCTCTTTTACTCGTGTTCTCTCAAACAGTCAGTCAGCTACAGTGTATAACCATGCACACATATACATCGATCCAAGTTGCCATTCCTCATTAGTACAGCAAGATCAATACCAAATTCCTCGAAGTAGTTAATTCAATGGTGATAATATATAAAAAGAAATATTGTATATAAGGGTATAGTAGAGGAAAGAAGAATTAGTGCACAGAAAGAAAGATATAAAGCAATTTTAATCTCATAGTTTAAAGGAAGACAAAGAGGGTATTCACCGACGCCATTGTGTTCGATTCTCTATGATAAGATCTAAGCTAATTTGATATCTCTTGATCATAACATTTACACCTAATGATGTTTTGTAGATTTTCTAGTTCCATAGAATGTTTAAGATGTTCCTCGATGCAATCTATGGATACAGATCAGTTTTGAGATAATGTAGAGGCTAATTTCCCTTATATTTGACTCTTATAAATGGTATCCCGTTACCTGGGTATTTAATGTAGGCTAAATCTCCTAGTAGAATTATGGATTTACTCGAGATTATCCAAAAGCCTGAACATCAGTTATAGAGATAGTTTACTGTTAAAGATTGGTAAAATCTGCAAGCGTACAGGAAGCAAGCACACAGTGAAACCAAGAGAGTGTGTTAAAAGTTCATATATATTTATGAGCGTTAATCAGGTATGAATAAATTATTGATTTTCTGTGTATTACAACCAATGGGAGTATAGATTAGAAATTGACATGTGCTCAATCAGACTCACACAGAAAATTACATGGTGGGTCAAGTGTCCCTATTACAATGGGCAGATGAGCTTACTACAATAATCAGTTTTATTGTTGTTGCTGTTGTTGTTTTAATCGAAATCAACCATCCTCAACTGTGTTGGTTGCATTATGATGGCGATTAATTTTGTTCTGTTTCAAGTTCTCTATATGGTAGGTCAAAATTCCAGTGTTAACCGACGATATCTCTTATCATTTTTAGTCAGTGCATAAATCGTTGCATTTAAGTACGTTTTTTTTTAATACCTGATGTGTTCTTAATATCAATTTCTGACCTTTATTCTCATTTGGGTTAAACATTAAGTAACTGTTTTTACTAGTATTGTGTGTGCTACTGATATTGATAGATATAAGTAGTATGTATCACCAGTCGAAAGTGAAATACCTGGCAGAAGAACGTTAAGAAGACCGAAAATAAAACTAAAGAACAATGAAATCTAAGATGATTGATTGACATTTTGCAAATGAAGTATTTACTATATGGTTCTTTGATTTTACTAAGAGTTTCTGTAATTTGTATGTTTAAATACATTCGATTGTCCTGCACTTGTGTTCTCGTTCATTAGAGTATAACTGACCACCAAAAATATGAATCACATCATGAAGAAGTAAAGTAAACAAGTATGGTAAAAAAAGGGTTCTTATGATCCGGTAACCATTCACTATTTAATTAACTGAGATAAAGAAAATTACTGATTGTAGAAGTACAAATATAAATTTTTTATTATTCGACTAATTTATTTCAGAAGGGCTTTGTGTGAAAAATAGAGTAATTCGAATAGTTAAGATCATGAGTGAATTGAAACTAGACCACCATGCAAGCATTGGCCGGCCGTTTTGTCCTATTGTAAGACTCTTCAGTAGTGTGCATCCATGATTATGCCTCATGAGATTTTAAGTCAGGATCTATCAGTCTCGCACATAAACTCATAACTTTTAGACCACTGAGCCGGCTAGCAACCAATAGTGTTATTGTCTAACTTTCATTAATTCACAAAACTGTTTACAGAAATTTACAGTTAAAGCAACTAAATCAGTAAATTTCACTTTATTATACCTTATCATATAAACGTTTGTATATTTCTTGTATAGCTAAACGTTGCTGAAGACTTCTGTGACCAAGTATTTCATTAATAACATCTTCATCAGGATCTATAATGGATAAATAGTAAAAGATTAGATAAATAAGAATGGTAAACTACTTATTTGAAACTACTTATTAAGTGAGTTTTTATTTTAAATGTGACTATTCCTAAAGTATGCGATCCATCGGAAAGGTTTAGATGTTTACAGAAGATTGACGTTACACCATTCAAACATCAAATGTTCAGATTATGAAGTGAATATTACATGTTTTATTCTGTATCGTTGCAGTATATAGATAATACTATTATATTTATATATTCGTCAATTGGTTGAAGTTATACATTAACGCTGTTGGATGCCGGCTGGCTCAGTTGTCTAGTGGTTAATCGCTTGCGCACGAAACTGATAGGTCCAAGGTTCGAATCTCGTGAGGTGGGATCGTCGATGTGCACCACTGAGGAGTCCAATGCTAGAACGTAAAAGCTGTCCAGTGCTTCTAGGTTTTCCATGATGGTCTAGCTTCAATTGACTCATGAATTCAACTATTAAATTACTGTAATATTCACAAAAAACCTTCTCTGATTATAAGTATAGATATCATGAATTTTTCTGTTTAATCATTGACGAACAAAAGCAAACCTGTAGTAATAAATACAGATGTGAAAAGTGTGATATAAGATGAGGAACTGAGAGAAACGTTTCTTTTATTGGAACACTAAAATATTAGACATCGATGTTTTTGACCTGAATATTTTCTTTACGAGGATTCCCCTGTACTTCCAGTCCAGAAAATTGACATAAACTTTTAAACTCAAGTGATCTACAAAATGTTAATGCCAATAATTTTGTCTAAAGAAACTATTAAAGTTGTACAATTGAACTTATTTACTTACTTACTTACTTACTTACTTACTTACTCCGGTTACCTCCTCGTAGAGGAGCATAGGCCGCTTATCAGAATTCATCATCCAACCTTGGTACAATTGAACTATGCGTCAAGAAATATATTTTAATTATAAGATTGCTGAACAAGAATTGGAGTGTCTGCAAAGGAGTGGAATCATAGTACCGGTGAATTTTCCTGATTGGACAGCACCAATAGTGATTGTTAAAAATCCTAATCGACATATCCGGTTATGTGCAGATTGTTAGACAGGACTAAACGAAGCATTTAAAGCACATCAATACCCTTTGCCATTATTAGAAGACTTATTTTCGAAAACAATTTTCAGTATCAACAGGGCGTCATTAAAAACAAGTAGATAATAAACAGCTACTTTTTTCAAAGTTTTGACCTTTCTATCTGTATACATTCACGATCATATACAGGTGGAAGCTTTAAACTAATAATGGGTATTTGATTATTATTAAGTGGATGGTAAAGATGGATCATTCTAAACTTAAGTTTTGTCTTCACTTCTTGTTGTTTTACTTGTATCTTCCAGTTGTTATTTAGGACTGTAATTAATCGGTCACTCAATAGCACAAGCAGGTGGCTATCAGGATTCAGTAGCTAACAGGTAGATAAGGCGATGGCATTTGAAGCAAAGGGTACTGGGTTTGAATTCCATAGTAATTATCAACTCTGAGATGTAGGTACATTCAACGGACGAGTCACTACATTCGTAAATTATTTCTGTCACTATCATGATTTTATTAGTGTTTATTTTGTTATGTGGTATTTCCACAACTAATTCTCATATTAGGTACACCAAAACTACCTCTACACTCATACGTCTTAATTCTCTTAACTTATGTAAACTCTTCACATCCTGTGACCAATCTTATCGATTTCTATGTCCTGTAATTTTATGTAAAACCTTTACAACCTTTTACATCAAACATCATCGTGTTATCGACTTGAAGCAAACGGTACTGTGTTTGAGTCTTAGAGTGAACATGAACTCTGAGATGTAGGTACATCCAGCTGAAGAGTACCAAATAGCATGGAACGAGTGTCAAACTGAATTCCACTACTAGCCACTATCCATCTTTGCTTATGGTTTATCATTGTAACTTTCATTGCGGAATGACTTTAGCCATTGAACTTTGAAAAAATCAAGAACCACTGGCTAAATCTTTTGTTGCAGATTCAAATTTCTTATCTCAACTGATGATAAACTACCGGATCCTTAACTTAAAAATGTTCCCAATCTGAAATAATCTTTAAATAAACTAATACAGAAAGTAAACCAATGATAAATGAATAATGGGCAAATTGTTAAATAGAAGATCATCAACAACTTACTCATAAGTTTGATAGATTTATTGATTCTTTCTGCATCTTTTTCAGGATTTATTACAAGTGGATATTTAATGGTTGATCGTGATTTGACTTGTTTACTGAAGAAAACAATAACAATAACATACGATAGTTAATTGAATAACAGATTAATTAAAATAGACTAATAATAAGCAAAAAATGGATAGTGGTAAATGAACGGCCTTTTCGTCCTATTATGGGATTCGTCAACAGTGTGCATCCACGGTCTCGCCCACGGGATTCGTACCCAGGACCTTCGGTCTGGTGTGCGAACGCTTGTTTGTTCTCACTCACAAACCTACTCTGATAATATTACCCTATTATCCAGAGTGATGCCACCGACGACGGAAGAAATCAGAACGGCCACCAGACAAATCAAGAGCAGGAAAGCAGCAGGACAAGACAATATACCAGCTGAAGCATTGAAGTCAGACATCGAAAGAAATACAAACATGCCTCACCTTCTATTCAAGAAGATTTGAGAGGAGGAACAAGTGCCGATGAACTGGAAAGAAGGATACCTCATCAAGATTCCAAAAAAAGGAGATCTGAGCAAATATGAAAACCACAGAGGTATCACACTACTGCCAGCAACAGGGAAAGGCTTCAACAGAGTGTTGCTCAACTCGATGAAGGAACCAGTAGACGCCCAACTTCGCTATCAACAGGCTGGATTCCGTAGGGATCAGTCGTGCACAGATCGAATTGCGACATTACGGATCATCGTCGAACAATCAATTGAGTGGAACTCGTCACTGTACATCAACTTCATTGACTATGAGAAGGCGTTTGACAGTATAGACAGGAGAACGTTATGAAAACTTCTTCGACACTATGGAGATCCTGAGAAGATTGTCAATATTACCCGGAACTCATATGACGGACCACAGGGCAAGGTCGTGCATGGAGGACAGCTGACAGATGCATTCCAAGTAAGGACCGGAGTCAGACAAGGCTGTTTACTCTCTCCCTTTCTCTTTCTTCTGGTGGTCGACTGGATTATGAAGACCTCGACATCTGTAGGAAAACACGGCATACAATGGACATCTCAGAACCAATTAGACGACTTGGACTTCTCAGACAGCCAGTGTAGCAGCAGTCTCTGCATCAGTAGGCCTCAACATACACCAGAGAAAACCAAGATCCCCAAATACAACACGGAGAACACCAATCTGATCACACTTGATGGTGAAAATCTGGAAGGTGTAGAATCCTTCACATACCTGGGAAGCATGATGGATGGACAAGGAGGTTCAGATGTAGACGTAGAGGCGAGGATCGGCAAAGCGATGGCCGCATTCCTACAGTTGGAGAACATATGGAACTCAAAACAACTTTCAACCAATATCAAAGTGAGAATCTTCAATACGAATGTCAAGGCAGTTCTACTGTACGGAGCTGAAACTTGGTGAACTACTACAACCACCATCAAGAACGTACAAGTATTTATACATAGCTGTCTACGCAAGATACTCAACATCCATTGGTCGGACACCATCAGCAACAGCCTTCTGTGGGAGAGAACAAACCAACTTCCAGCTGAGGAGGAAATTAGAAAAAGACGATGGAAATGTATAGGTCATACATTACGCAAATCGTCAAACTGCATCACGAGGCAAGCCCCAACTTTGAATCGTGAAGGGGAGCGGAAAAGAGGAAGGCCAAATAACACATTACGTCGAGAAATAGAAGCAGATATGAAAAGGATGTATAGGGACTGGAAAGGATTGCCCAGGACAAGGTTGGATGGAGAGTGCTGGTGAGCGGCTCAAGCCCCTTCATGAGGAGTAACAGGAGCAAGTAAGTAATCCAGAGTGATGGCGCTTCATACTGTTCTTGATTATCTTTGTGTCTTCTTACCCTCTATTATATTTCTTTTGTCTTCTTGTTACACTATCGAAATTTATCAAATGGGACTAATCACTTCAAAATACATTATATCGTAGTAATATACATCTCTAATACCTTCATTATCTTTTGAATTAATCGATGTAGCATATTAACAATTATGTTTAATGTAAAAAAGAACAGTATACGTTATCTTAATGAAGTTTATCGAAATGAAAATAGTACATTGTGAAACATTTAAACTCAGTTTTTAGTCCTATATGCAAAAAGCATAATGCTAATAACATTGAACAGTGAACAATACATATAAAGAATCACAATGTCATCACAATTTTTGATTACCTTAACAGTAAAACCCTTTACTATAACAATTGGAGCGTCACTTCTCAGTGACTTCATGGATTTGTGACATGTCTTGGTCTGACACCTCTAGCTTTCTTCCAACCAACTCCTACACCATAAAACATCGCACGTTGGGGCAGTCGGTGGTTAGGCATGCGTAACACGTGTCCCAGCCATCTCAACTGATGAAGTTCCACTACTTCATCAATTCATTTTCCATCCTTACCTACTACCCGTTTCTTTACAAATTCATTACTTACTCGGTTGTCCCATGATATACGAGTAATGCTTCGAAGACATCTATGATCGAATACTAGTAGCCCACAAATATCCTCGACTCATACCGGCCATGTTTCACTGCCATTAAGTAGGACGGAACGAACTGCTGCACAGTATACACGTCCTTTGGTTGATAGATGGATATCTTGCCTACGCCATAAATGACGCAAGTTGGCAAAAGTTAGTCGAGCCTTCTGTATCAGTGCTAAAATTTTGTCACACACAAATGCCAGCATGAGACATGATATTTTTCAACATCTAAATCAAGTGAAGTAGATACATTACAAATCTAATCTTTAAAATTTGAAAAGTGTTAAGCAATAATGAACACGATACTGTCCAACCATTCAATACTTTAATACATAATATATTCAAATATCAGTATCCGTAGGTACGGTATTTGCTTTGCACCTTCTAAGTGCAAAGTACTTCTACAAGACTGTCAGGATTCTAATCCTGTACTCACCCTGGATGGTGAGCAGAGAGAAGCAGTCGAGAAGTTCGTGTATCTGGGTAGTTGCATATGTCCTGGTGGTGGCGTGAGTGATGAGACCGATTCACGTATAATGAAAGCTAGAGCGGCTTATGACAATCTGGGCCACCTTTGGCGCCTTCGTGATGTCAGTCTGGTTGTAAATGGTCGGATCTACAATGCGCTGGTGAGAGCGGTTTAACTTCATGTCTGTAAAACCTGGCCTCTCCGAGTTGAGAAGACTCTCTGTGTTTGATCATCGTTGTCTCTGAAGGATTGCTGAAATCCAGTGGCAACACAATGTTAGTAATGCAGAGGTTTGGGGACAGAGACTATAATCCAACTGGTGCCACCATCTTGAAACATCGACTTCAGTGGCTTCGATATGTTCTACGAATGTCGTCCCAGTGAATTCCACGTTATGCATTAATTGCCGACTCTGGGACTGGTTGGAAAAATCGGAGAGGTTGTCAGTGTATGACACGGTGTTGTGGTATGAAAGAAAGCTGTACAGAACTGGCTTCGGTCAGTCCTTCACCACTCCATGGCTGGAGTCCTAGATATGGTACGACATAATGACTAGAGATGCTATCAGATATGTCTCAGAATAGAAAACAGTGGTGATTTATTTATGTATTGAATAAATAAAATAACTATTCAAATATCATATTATCAAGTAATGTTACCATTGACTTACTTAACTTCCATAATCTTCCAAAGATTAAACAATTAAGTTTTGATAATCAAATCAAATTCTTGTCAATTAAATGAAAGAAGAAGATGATGAAGAAGAGAAAAACACTTTTTATAGGTTTATCAAGGTTTTATTTAACTTTTTTTTATTGTCTTAGTACACTGTACTTTCGTTAGTTTCATTGTTTGTTTGTTTTTTGTTCACCAGTAACTATTGTGTGTGTGTGTGTGTGTTCTTTTCTATTTCTTGTTATCTCTATGGTTTCATAGTTTTATTTCAAAGAAAAAAGTAAAGAAAAGAAAAGAAAAGAAAAGAGAGAATAACTTGACTTTCTATCACGTGTTATTGATAAAGACAGAAAAATAAACGAAAAAAAACGGGAATGTCACTATGTTCTTTAGAAGGACATCAATTCTATTGAATTTAATGTTATCAGCTGATGAATCAAATGAATAAGACCTTTATAATTATAAATTTGATGATTAATAATGATATGGAATTTGACTCTATGAATTCATTATAATTATCTGAAAGGGTTTTGTAGAGATTTTAGTCATTTCAATAGTTGAAATCATGAGTCAATTGAAGTTAGACATTGAAGCCGTTGAATAATGGCCGACTCAGTTGTCTAGTGGTTAAGCGCTCGCGCACGAGACTGATAGGTCCTGGGTTAGAATCTCGCGAAGATCGGGATTGTGGATGTGCCTTGCTGAAGAGTTCCATACTAGGATGAAAACGGCTGTTCAGTGCTTTTAGGTTTGCTATGATGGTCTAGCTTCAATTGACTTATGATTTCAACTATTATAATTATCTTAAAAAAAACTGTATGAAGATAGATCCCAAATTGATTTATTGACGTTCTAAGAAGTTTAAAAGCAGTTGAAGATATTCTATCCAATCATTTTTTTTGAAGAATATTCTCAGAATCTCGATATGTAGCTTCTCTATTAGACACTTACTAATAACTCCGTGTATACGGATTGAATGACTACAATGATGATTTTACTTTTGCTAAAAAACTATAAATACCTGACAATTCTGTTCTGATTTGCAACTTGCAAGGTTTAAGTGTCCGAGTGCTCAAGTTATACGTGGTATATTGAGAATCTAAGTTTTATATATAACAACTGGCGACGGGGTCAACTTATGACGATGTCATTTAACTTTGACCTAGTTGAAGCTTTGCTGGAGCGTTAAGAAAAACAGTGTCCAAATAAAACTCTACAGATGACTAGCGAGTGTCAGGGGTTAATGAACTTAAAACATGACAATCCTATGGTTGAAAACAGTGACCGGTCACCACACGTACAGGTAATAAATGGCCAGAAAGATTCTTTTGTACGTAAGCAAGACAGATCAAACAAACAACCTACATCCTCGTGCTGATTATGCTGTGAGTGGCACTACAAGAAGTTTTGTGCATATAAAATCTACCGTTGCACGAAATGTCAGCATAAAGGACATAAGGAATCCTGTGATAAAAATATGTATCGTCGTCCACCGCAACTTTATTTCAGGAGACATAAACCTCATGCATCAATCACATTTAATGCACACATCATGATGAATGATTGTGCAAACGGAACAATTCAAATAAGATCTCTTTAACCAACTGGAATTAAACAGGGAAATTACAAGATATTTTGTGATAGTTGTTTGAGGTAATTACTCGATTAAGAAGACCTAATTGCACTTGAGTAAACTAATAAATTGTCAAAACATCTTCATGATACGCAGATTATCATATATTATTTAGTGAGGTACTTATTGATTAGTCAAGGAGGGATAGTGCTTAGTGTGAATGTAAGATTAATACATACGTTTACTAACTATTTTTCAAGAGAGGTTAGTGTCAGCGTTGGTATTCAGCGTCACGGTTATGTTAAGTGTTAGAATTACAGCTTAGCGTTTGTGAGGACAGACCATAGGTGAACTCGGGGAAGCTCTAAGAATCAAAGCTCTAGATATAACAGCGTTTGGGTTGAGTTAACCTTGAAATCGGCAGAAACAATATTTTCCGATTCTAAATCCCCCGTCATTGGACAACTATCTATACTGTAATCCATTTTTTATATCCATAATATCTACTACATAATGTCCACAATAATAAAATCTGTGAGTGATAATGAAAGATCGTTTGAAATGTGTTTCATTATCGGTGTCTTCGACAACACCAAACTTGATTACGGGGAGTAAAACTGGTGAATGCGATCACGCATTTAATGTAATTCTACAAACCTACTCTATTATGTATTTTCTCTTCAGTAGCAAACAGTAATTACTACGTTCACACATATGGTGATATGATTCAATATTATTATGATGATTTCTAACAAACCAATAGATAACATGAAATCAGAGCGCATAGTTCGCCTCAAACAACATCTCCAAAATCATTACCAACAGAGATCAAGTCAGCACTAGATCTCATGTGATCTAATTATTCGAATATAATCAAACTATAACAACTTAATCATTCACAACTTATTAAAATCAAAATGGAAAGCTATGATCAGTCAAATGTTTTATTTCAAACAACAGATCGAAAACAAACGATCACCAAAACACTTTTCGACGAAATAAAGTCACAATCGTCAAGTGAAATGACATTCATACATTTCATGTTCATACAAGTAATACAGGTAATTTAACCATATCGTGGAAGTGGAACTGCACGTTCGATTCTCGGTGGATTTTCATGGTCTACCGCAAGTGAATATTCTCCAACTTCCAGTTCGTCATTGTTCGATACATCGATATTTTATGTGAAGTATTAACATGATGAACAAAAAATAAATAGTTAGAAATTGTTGTACTGGTTGTTTCGTTAAGCTGTCTAACTCGTCAGTGAATTCCCTGAATTCAAATGATACTCCACAACTTATTGACAATCATAACATTCTGACGACCGTGATAATAAAAGAGAATCATTAATTTTTGTGTTTCATTAGATAGACATGTAATCCAAGTAATCCATTCTCTCGTTCGACTTATAATATCGGATTACTCACTAACCCTAATCATTGTATCCGTCGTTAGGTCAGCTGTACATTTCGATATCAATCATCATATAAGAAAACTGGAGTCCGACATCGGTCATTAAAGTGAAATAGCAGTCCGTTAAATTGTCGTGACTCATCTGCAAGACCTATGATGTTTTAGTCCACTTAATGGATAGATGTCGCATGCGAAAGAGAGATTCTCGTTGTGGAATTCATTTCAAGTTGTAACATTCACCGTGCTGACTTCTTTCTATCCACCCACTTGCAATGCACTACAATCACATGTACATGTAAATAGTGGTAGGTGATTATCATGGACTACTCAGTGAAAAGTACACCTTGATTAACGAGCGCTACTATTGATGAGTGTAGTTTATAACAAACGATCATCAACATTTTAATCAAGATTACACCTACCTGTTGACAATGAATTGATTCTACTCATCTCCAGTATTATGTATGTTATAATCTGAATAATCAACAATTTCCAATACATAATAGTAAACTAAGTACAGTAATGCTGATCACTTATCTCTTATCTATTCAACTGTGTCTATACAGATGTCTGTATATATATATAGACAGATAGATAGATGTATATGATGAATATTTAACGACATAGTTCAGGTCATTAGATAATCATTAGATATTTATGACTTGGCAACAAATAACTCATCATAATGATTAATGTTTATTTATATAAATCGAGTCAAATGATTCAATTATTTACCTTTTAATTACAACTCAATTATTCATTATTCATTATTCACATATATAATGACTTCTCTACTCAATAGTTGGCGCCCAATTTCTGTTAAACACTCCGTTCTAATCTTGACCAATATTCATCTACATTATCGTTAGTATTATTATTATTATTATTATTTGACATGAATAAAATGAAATAAAATTCATTTGTGCCAACACATTATCGCTAACAACTTTGCTTATAGTCATTGTCAAGAATGAAATTTGCATAAATTTATTTGAATATAGTGAAGGTTAGACTTCCTCAATTATTGTAAAATAATTAGGTGATAATATCTCGAGTTGCCATGTGCACTTGTACTTCTAATGCTCCTGACATGCAAAAACCGAATTTGCATTATGTCACCAGTTAGAGGCGACTCAAATAGTCTCATATTGAATTAGCAGCTCAACTTGTCATTATTCAAAGAAATAGTCTATGTTACACCAAAATCCCAAACAACGCAGAAGCGATTATGTCACATCTCACCGTTTCTACCAATTTACATGCATGTGCCAAAACACGTACATAGGGAAGAGCAATCGTAATCTGCAATTAAGGGTGACGGAACATGTACTTGAGTGACTGCAGAAACAAATGAATTACAATGGTCAAATAAGATCACAGAACAGACAGTCATCTTCCTCCATTGTGAAACATTTACTTGACACTGGTCATCAGGTTGATATCATGTCAGCATTTGTGGTGTTGTACAAAAGCCTTCAAGGACATATACGAAGATTAGTTGAAGCCTCGGCTATGCGCGAACTGAAACATTATTTATGTGTTCAAATACAATTTGTCCTTACACTTAACCTACCCTGATAATACTGATTTATTATCCAGAGTGATTATCACATTGTTTTTGTATTTGTCTAATTTTTTTCTTTCTAACAGCTTACCTTCATTCAGTCTAGTTGGGTAAGTTATTCGTTGCTTGACATAAACCTGTTAACCGTCATCGGAGAGTCTGTGGTCCGAAATTATACAACTTTTCCTCCCTCTTATGTTCACTCGAAATGTGGAAAGGTGAAACAAATCCTAATACATTACAGTCTTTTGTAGTTTCATTTATTGAAGCATCAGACGGAATTTTCTACCGATATGTGAGAGGTCACTTGTTGCTTAAGAAACAAGAGTGGTCAAATACTTTTAGACCTGTGACGACGCTTCAAGAATAAAGCGAGACGAACTTCGTTGAAACAACTCATATTCAGTGTGCTTCTTCAAACTGGATATTGGATGGAATCACGAGTTCAGAAAT